CATATCGAATATATTATAAGTAGACGCGTAATACTTGTGTGTGTCGTTACATATATATATATATATATATCACAATATGAGCTCGTGTCACGGATCAATGTAATAATTCTAACACGCGTAAACTCGTATATACGTGTTAAAAAATACAACGTAGCTGTACTTTATTAATATCGTAATACGTGGATATTATAAAGTGTAACGCGTATGCGGAATATCCATGTTTTTTAGGGGTGATTTATATAGGAATATATCGTGAAATTATAGATATCGCAATACATATCGAAGCTAAAACAAGTACATTAGCCATTTATTTAGCCGTTTTTCAAAAAGTACATCATTCGTATGGACATCATATCGGAAATAAATGGATATAAAGCGAAACTGAGCGAAAAAGAAAGAGAAGAGGAAAACGATTAGAAGCAGATGAGCAGAAACACGGTACTACTAGTACAAGTAGGTTATATATCACGATTACACACCATGGTTTTAAAACCTTTTTTTTTCTTGTTTTTTTTTTTTCTTTCTTTCTTTTAATTTTTCTTTATTAAAGCAGAGTATGACAAAGAAGGAGGGTGGGACGATAACGATAAGAGTGCGGAAAGAGGAAGATTTTTTTTCATCCGAATAATAATAATTTGAGATACTTTTTAATTTAACGATCGATCGGTCGAAACGAAGTTGAACGGAAAATGGTTGAAAGTTAATTGTATTTTGTTTCGTCGACAAACTTCCGACAGATACTGACGCGGAAAAGATCGCGTCGACAACGATACTATGGGAGAGAAAAAATGTTCAACGATCAATCGTTGAACGTAATGTCCTTTTGTCCGGATGAAAACGTTTTTTAACGGTAAAAGAAAAAAAGGGAAAAAAGAAAAAAAAAAAGAAACGGAAAGGAAAGGATGCAGCTCGCGGAGCAATTACTCGGCAGCGCGATTCCAATGCTGACCAACCTCGTCATACTGTTGTACATTTGCCAACGCGTGAGCCACCTATCATTAATATACTAAAAAAAAAAAAAAAGGAAAACTCAATCCCGTATCAACCGCTTTCGTTTCGCCCAGTTTATAACGGCTACCATGTTGCGACGCAGGATCATCGCTGAGATGAGAGAATTTTCCACTATCGTAACGTATATTCGATGGCGATCCGATCGATCGATCGATCGGTCGCCCCTCCTCCCTCCCTCCCCCTCCCCCTCCCTAGCTTTCCGTGTGTCGACAGGTCCGTCGGGCGCGCGACAACCTACGCTACATCGGCGAACGAGTGACCAAGGGGATGGACGAGGTGAGATCCGATCCCCAGCTGCGATGATGAACAAGCAACATTTTGGATCGATTTTCCTTTTTTTTTTTTTTTCCCCCCCCCCAGATCAAGGAGGATATCGGGAAGGAGCTTCGAGTCACCGACCGGTTGACGACCCAGAGTTCAAAATTGGAGACGGTGTTGCGACGATTCGCGAGTCTCGAGGAGAACGTGATCGAGGTACGTGACCGGATCGATATCTTTCTCTCAGGTCGATATCATCGATGCGACGCGAACATCAGATGGTGCGAATGGATCGGAATCGGGAGAGCGTGAGGATCGAGACACCGACGGACGTGGGCACGGAGATCGAGAGGATCGTCGCCGCCGCCGAGAGGAGGAGCATCGAGAATCGGGAGGATTCGCTGGTTTCGGAGGTGGATAGGCGCGAGGTTGCCCGCAACCCTGTGTCCAAGTTTTCCGCGTGCGGGCCCCGTGAAAATATTGGGAGAAAAACGACGGCGGAGGGCCGAGCTCGGATAGTCACGACGCCAGAGGTTCGCCTCCTCGGCGAATCGCAGCCAAAAAAATAAATTCGTCCGTTTTTCCAAGCAAGCGTCATCCTGATCGATCTTGACGATTATTATTATTATTATTATTATTATTATCCGTGAGGGGAGAGAGAGAGAGAGGAGGTTCGATCAATATTTTCGAAAAAAAAAGGAAATAATAACACGGGAGATAAAAATCCTTTCAGCCGAATCGTCTCATAGCCGGGCCACGTTCGCTCGTTCTGTGACCCAAGTAATTGGCCAATCGTTTCACGAATCCGCTCCAACCGACGCGATCTATCTCGTCCAAGTTTCGCTTGAAGAAATTGTCGAAAGCCGTCCGGTCGATCTCGTCTATGTTCCGCTTCTCGAAACGTTCGAGCTCGGGCGAGCGATACCCGAGCGAGTCGCTGTCAAGAAAAAACGAGAAAGTAAGAAGAAAAGGAGAGGGGGGGGGAGGGAGAAGATAAGACGAGTGCATAGTTACCTGACTGGAGATGGCTCGTCCACGAGCTCGTTCGTGCTCGACCCGGAAGAGAAGTCGCGCAGATTTGCCCGGGCTCTCGCATCTTGAACGAGACGAAGAAAAGAAATGGGCGTTAATGACAAACATTTCTTGTTTATACACGAAGCGTATAATTCGTATAAAAAAGGAAAAAAAGAAAGATAGGGAAAAAAGGATTCGATGCGAGGATCGTGCACCAGCACGTTTATTTTATTTCCACTGCTCGCGCGTTACAGAGAATCGCGAGATATCTATCCAACGATGATCGGTCGTTGGGTATCTACGATCGAAATAACTGGATAATCTTCCGTCTAACGGGTTTCGATCGACCGAGCGAGGCCCCGCACCAAATTTCCTCCGCCGATTTGGTCCAAATTTCTGTCGAATCGAGGATTGTTGTCGGTCGAGGATAACGGTCGGTTCACGCCACGGACCAGATTCCCTCCGCCTATGCTGTCCAAGTTTCGTTCGCCACGGCTCTCCGCTTCCCGTAGCAAATTCCCGCCCCCGATCTGATCGAGATTCCTACGCGACCAACGGCCGTCGTAGGACGAGCCTTCACCCGCGCCACGCAACAGGTTGCCCGCACCGATCTGATCCAAGTTGCGCGAGAGCCGTTCGTCCTCTCCATCCCGAGCGTCGTAGCTACTTTTTCCAACACCGCTTTTCGAGAACAATCGTGCGACGTTGCCGCCTCCTCTCAGCCGGGACGAGTAACGGTCCGATTGCCCCACTTTTTCCCGTGGCAATCCTGAAAATTCGTCGATCGTCGTTTCGATCCTGTGAGTATCAATCGAAAATTCGTCCAAATTCGTTCATCACCATCACCGACAAGCCCCTTCTTCGAGCAAGCGTGTTCCTCCGTTCTTGAACCCGTGTTAAGCGTGTTATTATCGTTTCGTTCGAACGAGACGGAGACAGAAGCAGTACACGTATCAACGTACATCGTGGTACAGATAGAATGGATAGAATGCAAGAGAAGCGAAGAACGAAGTTAATGGTAACAACTTACCATGGTCGTCGAGAAACGCGGCGAACAATTCCGGGTTAACGGGTCCGTAAAACTCTCTGCGCAGAGGGTTAATTTCAGCCTGGAATCAAACGCGATTAAATCGAGATCGTGCCGCGATTGACGGCACGCGACTTGTCCGTGTCTCGATCGATGACAAAATTCTCCCTCCCACGCTCGAGAAATGTCGATTCGACATTGTTGGAAATGTTTCGAACGCACGATTTTATGACTTTACGATTGCGAAGATAAAGATCGTTTTCGTTCGCGTGACTTGCAATTTGAAACAATTTCGAGCACGATCGAAAGTCGTTTAGTCAAGGTGGAAAGGAAAAACGGTGATTACCTGAACGGTGGGTATCCAAACGGTTGCCGTGATCGAGAGAGTCAGGATCGAGAGAGCGAAAGCACCCTGGCACGGCATCATTGATCGGGGCAGCGAGTCGTGCAGCTTTTACCAAAAACGTGAAATAAAGCGAGCGTTTGAGCGTACGAGGTGTATCTACGACTCAAATCGCGTGCCTTGTACCGGTCCACCTCGTGGTTGTTCGAAATATATATAGAGAGGGTAAGCGGTCGAGAGGGTACGGATCGGGGGGTGCGAAGCGGGCTTGGAGGACGCACGCGCCGCGACGCGACAAACCGCGACAAGTCGCGACGCCGAAATCCATTATTTCTTACGCGTGGTATCACCCTCGTGCCTCCGATCGTATCATTACGGCCCATCGCGCGCATCTCGCTTCGATGGCATTGCTAATTCCATTTCCAACCGTTTCCGAACTACGTATTTAGGAAAATAATCGCGCCGATCGCTACTTTCGCTTCCCTTCGAATACCATTACGATTGTTCGCGCCACGTATATCTTTCTCATTCCATTTTTCGTTTTCGATCCGTTTTTGATCACGACGTTTCACGACGAGGGACAAAAAACCCTGGGAATGCGAACGATCGATCTCGCTCCTCCGTATTTGGAGCAGAAAACGATTCCCGCCACGCGTGAATGCCACAAGTATACACATACACACGCAAATTATCGACGTCTCGTTAACGTTTTACGAGTGAGGAAAACGAGCTTAAGGGCGCCGGTTTCGAATCGGCGGAAAGTGCGTTTATAATCCTCCTCTCTGCCGTTCATTTTCCAATGTGAGAACAGTTTTCATATTTTGGCGGGATAAACGAATAGCTCAGAAATGAAACGAAATGGAACACGCGACAGATGTCGAAAATATCGAGTAACGATTAATGAGATAATTTATAATTTACAAAGATACGATAAATCGTAATTTTTTTTTTTTTTCCTCTCTGAATTTGGCACGAGAGAGTAAGTATGATTTTCAGACTTATTCTTTTGCAAAGATAATGAAAATGAAAAAAAGGTAAATTAACGAGAAAAGAGAAGAAAAAGTTCTCCGCATATCGTAATTTTCAATTTTAGATATGCCGATAGATAAATGCGAAAGAAGATAAGACGCGAACGTGCATTATCCACTCAATGCAATATGTACCGTTTAAATCATCCTGTTTACCTTTATACTCGTGTTCCTCTGCCTTACCTTTAACCATTCGCATTAACACGGTTGAGTCGAGAGCACTTTGCTTTTTATATCAACTCAACTCGTCTCTGTTCGCGATAGCGCGATTGACAGCTACTCGACACCTTTTGCTCGATAATGAATACCATTCTCTTATCTTTTTCCACTATCCTTTTTCCAATATCATCGAATACTCTTGCTCCAATCGCCCCGACATTCGATTTGAACCTTCGATTCGAAAAAAAGTTGCGGCCATTGGAAAATAAAATAAATTATATCTCTCTTGGTCGAATTTGGTAAAATTTTCGTTGAAAAATTAAAAAGAGACGATTTGCGTGTTTCAGAATAAATGAAAAACCACTTATCGAAACGAATCACCGATTCGAGTAACAAACAGGGCGGGAAAGTACATATTTGTTTGTTCCGTCCGAGTGGAAAATCACTAATCGACCTTTGTATAGCGTGGATGGGTCAGGACTAATTTTAGATCGTGTCTCAATCGTTGCAATCGAGTACCTAGTAGAACAAAATTGCCTGCATCACTTATGAGTCTCTGTTAATTAATCGAATTATCGAGAATGTTCGGTAATGCTAATAACTGATAACGGAACGCGCAACATCGTTTCTGCTTGCATGGACAACATTTATCCTGTTTGTGCGGTTCGCGCATGAAGCCAAGTAACGCGCAAGACGTTTTATATCCTGAAAACTAAGTACATACTAATATATACATTTGATGCAATAACCATCGATAAATTCGATCGTTCTTTTTCTTTTTCCCTTTTTCTTTCTATCGTTTTTTAAAATTTTGCAAATAAATATAATATTTTTCTTCTTTTTTTTTTTACTCTTGCGTTTTTTATCGTCAATTTCGATTCAAGAAAACCACAAAGGCGTGCCTAATGTTTCTTTTACTCCGCGAGATGGCAATCGCATCGCAACTACCGACCACCTTCGATCGATACTCTACCGCGTCATCTGTGTGAAAATGAAAACGAAAACTGTTCTACTTCTCTTCGTATGTTATTTTTTTGCCCGAAGCGCCGCAAACGACGAATTTCTTGACGACGATTACGAAGGTGATAATTCGAATATCGAGCGCGTCGATTTTATATATACGATTGTCTAATCGCTTTTAACGTTTTGATTGCAACGAAAACCGTGTTTACGAAATCTTTCGTTCGCTTTTAACCTAACCTTCAACGTGTCATAAAATTATATCTAATTTTTCACTTTTTGATTATTTTCGCGAGAAATAACGATTTGATAATAATTCGTAATTTTTAAACGTTACAGAAGATCCACGAAATTTTGATTTGGATCGAGTAGGCTCGTTTCGGGACTACGTATTCGGTCGTGATGGAGAGAATCGTCGAAACATCGTTGACGATGAATCGGAAAATTGGCCTGGCCGATGGATGCCCGACAGACCAAACGATCCTACTCCACCACCCAAAATATTTCCAAAGATTAGCCAGACAAGTGTGCAATCCCTTCATGGAATACCAATGGGATATTCGTCGCAAAACTGCGACGATGCAAAGGTATGTACATCCATATGTCATTTATTTCACCACTGATTATCGTTCATCGATCATCTTTATCTCGCATATCATTTTTTAGAGTAATTTAACCATGGATTGGGACGGCAATCCAATTGTTCATACCTGTTACGACAAAAGAATCGTTCCGAACAGAAGCACAACAGCGATCATGTATTGTGTACTTATGCCCAAGTATTATGTTGTAAGTATATGTACACATATGTACACGTATAGTTACTTCGACGATAGATGCGTTATTATTATATTATATATCAATTCGAATGTTTACAGGCTATGCACAAATGTATGTACGAGAAAATAGAATACGACGAAGCCGTTCCTGTATAGTAAGTGCGATCTTTGTTTGATTTTGTTTAATTTCGAAAAATCTATAAATCTTAATTAATTGTGCGGATTATCTTTAGCGGAACACACAGACCTTTATGGCCTGTCTACGGCGAGTACAAATTTTTACCGAAGCAAAGGTGGCTTCATAGTTTAGAGGTAAGTAACATGTCAACATAAAAGTAAATAATTCTATTTCTATTTTCTAACATATTCTTTTCAGCATGGAGCGATTGTTGCGTTATATCATCCATGCGCCAATCCCATGCAAGTAAGGCGTTTAAAAAGCTTGCTCGCAGGCTGTCTACGACGACATGTGATCAGTCCGTACAACCTCTTGGATGAAAGCCATGTAAGCATTCGCAGGTCATGATTGATTAAAATTCGATTAAACGTAAAATTGATGTTTCAGCCGTTAGTTTTGATCTCTTGGGGATGTCGATTGAGCATGTCATATGTAAATCCCGAGCTAGTCATTGAATTTATTCGTGAGCATGCTCGTCGAGGGCCGGAAGAAATCTCGAAAGATGGTGATTTCGTCGAAGGTCTATTACATCGAGCTGAAATTGTGTCCGATATTGACGATACGATATTATGTCCCAACGCCCATACATTTTAAAGCTTCGACATCGTGCGCATTGGTGCATCTATATCGTTCCTTTTGCTTCCATTATAATACTATACGTATATGTACATATCAATCTTTTATTATTTATTTATTAAGCGCGTCTCTTTCCTTGTTCTTCTTCCTCCTATTTTCCTTCGTCCAAAGTAGCTCTCTCCTCTTCTAATTCGTTTTTTTTCGTTTTAACGTGACCTGTGTTAAAGGAAAATTAATAAAAAAAAAAAAAAAATACAGAAAATAACACTGAATCTTTTTCCTTTCTTCTTCCGTTCAACGAATCCTTCCCCCCCCCCCTTTATTTTATTCATTGATCCAATTACCATCGAATAACGCGTTGAACAACAAGGACAAAGGAAACGAATAAATGGGATGCGTAATATTCACTCCCGTTACATATTCTTGTATATTGTTCATCTTTCGAGAGAGAAGATCAATTAGTTAAATACATTGAACATCGTGTCGGTTTTTAAAATCTCTGCGGACCTTTGTTATCTACAGACGTATAGTAACTTCACTGTAGTGCTGACTATAATCGTTATTCCTGCGGTTACGTATCTTCAATGATATATAAAATTAGGGTAAGACAAGTAACGCTATCATATCTCGATAATGTAAAATATACTACTCGTCTACTCAATGGTAAGTCGTTAACGTAAAAGAATATAATTGTACAGTAAACGCTTGGCTTCTTTTTTTTTTTTTTTGTCTTCGTTATCGCTTCGATAGATCAATAGATCACAAAGAAAATAGCTACTACAACGCGAGAAGAAATCGGCGAATCGTGAGTTAGAGGCAGCGACAAGATTCCAAACGTGAGTTCGCGGTTGAATCGCTTATCGCGTTTAGAGAATACAGAAAATCTATCGATTCACCGATTTCCTACTCCTGTCATTTGACCGAACATCCATGGACGCGATCCGACTCTCGTCGTTATTATTACCAGACATGCCCTTTTTCTCTTCGAAATTTCGTTTACCTCTTTGTGTTCCAAACCCGATTTTTTGCGAGATTTCTCTATTTCTTTTTTTTTTTTTTTCCTTTTCTGTCGCGTAAGGAAATGCGTGTATGTATGTATATATGTAATCAGATTCGCAGAACCATCGATATTTTTGTGCAGGACTAGACGTATAGACAAAAGGGCACGCTTTGTTTCATTTTATACGCTGTAGCCAACGCTGCAACGCTGCTTTTCTTCTCTCCGTCGGATGACGAGTGTGGATCTCGCCTTGCGTTTCTTTCTTCAAACACAGCTAATTAAACGCGTTACGACGATGGATTTTTTAATATTATTGCCAACTTTGTACAGTGTTGATAATAATAATGATAATAACAATAATATCGCATTAAAGATGGAAAATAACAATCTATCTCGTTCTGTTCTCGTATAACTGAGAGAGAAAGAGAAAGGTAGAGAAGAGAGAAGAGAGAGAGAGAGAGAGAGAGTGTGTGTGAGAAGTGAAATGCATCTATGCTCATTTGATGCAAATACGACTCATAGGCGGAAAAACACCGTTCATTTATTTAATAAGTAATCCTTAGTACAGGTCTCTTTTTTACTTTTTCTTTTTCTATTTTTTTGCCTTTTCTTTGTTCTTACGTAGTTCTTTCACCTAATAGAAGTGTATCTACGATAAAAAGTATTTTCCATATCATTGTTCAACGTGCTAAATTCTTCAAATTTTTATCTCTTTCGTAAATCGGTTTCTCTCTCGCATGCACGCATACGTAAATAAATATTCTTTCGTTCAAACTTTCTTGCCATCGTTCGTTCGTTCGTTCGTTCGTTCGTTCGTTCGCGCATTCGTTCGATCGTGCATTCGTCCGGTCTCTTCCTATACTTTTTATCCTTGGTTTTTTTTTATTTTCTTTCGTACTTTTTTCGCTCGCTCGCTCGCTCGCTCGCTCGCTCGTTCATTCGTTCGTTCGTTCGTTCGTTCGTACTTTCTATTCCTTTCTCTCCCACACTCTCATTCCCTAATTAATTTCTCAATAATGTAAATTTATTATAATAATCTCACTTTGGCGCGTAGCAGTCAAGAGACATGGCCACGCAACCTCTCTTATCGTTATGATTTAACACCGACACCCCATCACGATCGCTCTTTATTTTTTATTCGTTTGTTCTTTTATCTGAAAACATTCGCAAACTTACACGATTTACGCTCGAAAGTGGAATTGACACTCATAAGGTTATTGAAATAGTCTCTCGAAGAGTAATAATTGCACCGATGCGACACGACCAATGTAAGTACATTCTCGATATTTTGTCGTGTTCGAAGTCTCTAAAGCGTTCCATCTGCTTTGTCACGATTCCCGTTTCTTCGTCGTATTTACTCCCTGATCGATTCACATTTTTAGCCCATCTGTCGGTCTTCCCTTTCGTTCGTTCACGTCATACGTTCTCTAACTTTTCTTAAAAATAGAAATACACAATTTTTCCATCCCATATATGGAACAATGGTTTCGTTCATTTCATTTAACAAGTAAATATAGAAGTAAAATAAGAAGAAAGAAGAGACGTGAGAAGAGAGAGAAAGAAAGAAAAAAAGAAAGAAAGAAAGAAAGAAAGACAGACTGACAGACGGACAGCAACGTTGCGCGAATTAAGATAAAATATTCCGCACCGTTCTCGTGAAATCTCATCCTCGTGAACAAAAGGAAATCAACGAAGTCACAGGTGTAATGTATAACCACGTGAACGAGAAAAATCCTCTTCCTTACTTTTTTAGGCCAAAACGTACACACTATATGCATGCATGTATACCAACGAGATCATCGGTGATACGTGCACAAGTTTTACAAGTTTTACAAGGTAATATAATTCTATCATGGCCCGGAAAACTTATTCGATGGTACTTATTCGAAAAGTAAGTATAATTTGATTCTTCAATTCCTAATCGCGAGTATCGCTACACACGAACGCGCACGCATCGGAGAAAAATGCGAAAAACGACAAGTTAACGAGTTTAAAGCTAATCGAACGAGAGAGAGAGAGAGAGAGAGAGAAGAAAAATGAACTAACTTTTCGGAGAGGAGGCTGATACAACAGGTAGTTTAAAAAAGTGATGCGCGCAAGGGACAGTTTGCGACGATCTCTCGTCGTCACGGTGCGGGGGAGGGGGAGGGAGGGAGGTAGGGAGGGAGGGGTTTGTATTTATGCGACCGTATTTAAGGCCGATAACTCCTGTCTCCTTCACATCGTGGAGAATTGACTATCGATCGATCGACCAATCATATTCGTCGATTGAGTGATGGCCACTCGGTGCACGCGAATCGATTTCTTTCCCTAATTGTCGAAATGCGAAACGAATCCAAGTTTGTTCGGAGGAGGGTGTCCCAATCGAATGAATCGCACAATATTTTCTTCCTTCTCTCGAATCGAATATCGACTCGAGCGATCGCTAAATAAATTCCAAATCGACCAAGAAGGGACCAAGAAGCTTCGAGATGTAAAGCGAGTCGTAAAGCGATAATGATTCTTTCTTTGTTTGCATGTGTATGTGTGTATGTATATATGTGTGTGTGTGTGTGTGTGACGTCTCTGATCTTGCGTTCTTCCTTCTTCTTCGATCGACGCAGGATACGAAAACGAACGAAAGCTTTTTTCTTCCTATCCTCCTCCTCCTCCTCCTTCTTTTTTTTTTTATTACCTATTATATGACGACGATGACGACGACGATGATGGCGAGGACGAGATATCAGTCAAAACGAAATTATTAGAATCGATTTTTTGTTGCACAGGAATTCCTCTTTTTTCTTTTTTTCTTTTTTTTAAATCGTACTCAAACGATAATATCTAAACCAACGATCGATATGCTTATGAAATACGATCGCAAAGTGATCATCGCGATCATCGTGTTGTTCGTTTCTCTAATTCCCCCGTTTTTATCACGTTTTTATCGTTATCGTAGCATCGTATCGTCGTCTTTACCGTGCTCAACGTTGCCGTTACGTGACACGTGTGCAACTCCTGCTTACTCCTTCTTTTCCCCCCCATTCACTCTTATATTCATTTTTGAAACATCAATCCATAATCTTTTTAAACGCATTTACCTCAACGTTCATATAATATAATCAACAAAACGTTAACACGAACGTCGCCCGTTTCTTGCTCGAAAAGCAATTATCAGACGATAGTTTACACGAGCAACAGGCGTCGCGAATAATAAATTATCATCGTTAATATATTACTCTTTTCGACTGTGCCGACTAACTATTTTATATATACATGTAATATGTTTTTTTTTTTTCTCTTTTTTGCGTAACGCGTTTGGGCGTTGTATGTAATAATGTGTGTATACGTGTGTATGTATTGCGTGTATGTGCTCCCGTTTCGCGCGTTTGCGCCCGTGTCGTAAGTGTGTATATATGTGTGTGTGTGTGTGTATATATACGTACGAGTATGTCTGTGTGTGTATATATACATATATATACACATATAGCAATAAATATGTATACACTTTGTGTAGATACGATACATCGGAATGATCCAGATTTTATCGTCGACGATTGTATTAGCGTTAATTAATTTCCCGTAACATCTATATCTTATTATTGCTGCAGCTTTATAGATCTCCTCTTCTCTCCTCGTCGCGTGTTCCTCGTTTTTTTCTTTTTTTTTTCCTCTTTTTTTCTTTTTTCTTTTTTTTTTTTTTTGCGAAAATCCATTTCCCTCCTTTCCATCATCCGACATCTTGTTCTCCGCGCCGATGATCGACCCTCTCTAACACGACGCACGCTTTTTGCGAAAATGTTTTTCTTTACGCACGACGATAAACGATATATATAAAATAATAAAAAACAAAACGAATTAATAATTGGAAGAAACGAGACAAACATTTCGATTTATGTAAAGCGAGCGGATTATTTTAATTTCCATTGTCATTGTCGTCGTTGCGTAGTGTCGGTCATGGTCACAATCTCGTCATTATTGTCCGTTCGATCGTCGGTAATTGACCGATTGAGGTTAGAGTAACGGTATTCGATACGACTGCAATACGACAACGTGAGCTGAACCGAGAGAAAAAGGACGAAAGAAAATCGCGGCCGCGTATTTGGATAGAAATAAATACAACGATATATCGAAGAGGATGCAAAAAAAAAACGGCGGTGACGCCGATCGGTCGATCGAACCCAATACCCTAATGGCATTTCGTGCAACACGAAGACGATAGTGCTTCGCTATACGATTCGTCACCGTTCTCGATCAATCGATCAATTTTTATCGACCGATCGATTTCTGACACAACGTCGAAAGCGAGAAACAAACTACCTAAGTATATACGTATATTCCGTCGAACGAAAGCTATTCCAACGTTACGACGCACTTGCAAATTTGCCCTTTGCGCGTTCCAATTCACACGCTTTCCCTTCTTTACCGACCGTTCTTAACCTCCGTTTCGAATCACTTTAACGTTCGATCCTTGATTCCGAACAGTAGCGGTTATCTCAGAAGAAGCGAAGAAAAGAAAACACTTTGCACGCGTTTCGACTCGTACGATCGATATACATGCCCGATCATACCACGAACGTGTTCGAAAGATTCGCAAAAGGCTAATTTCCAAGCTCGGTTAAAAATCACAGTCAAAAGAATGCACTTCGGTAGGTAGTCGGTATAATTGGACACGGCTACCAGAGCCTGCGCATAACGCCGAAAATGGCGTTTGAGAAAACGAGAGGATTGCATGGTAGCCTCGCACGATGTGCCTCGCGTTACAGAAAAACTCCATTGGGTTTTAGGCTTGGCTTTGGAACGAGATACATCGATACGACCTAATCGTAGGCAGCCGCCCACGAATACCGTCTTTTTTTTTTTTTCTTCGCTTTCTAGGCCCGATAGTCTCGGAGTAACAAAGGTAAGTACGCTCGACATTTGTCCATCACACCCGTGTTATTTCCCCGTCGCACTCTCAGTTGCTCGTCGATGATAGACCCGGAGAGATCGACGATGATAACCGTCTCGATCGTCCACGATCCACGCAATGACAATTTTCCTCGCTTCGATACATCGGCGAACATCGAGATCGCTTTCGTCGCTATCGTCCGTGTCTTTTATCCTTTTCTCACGTTCTATGATCGTGTTCTATAGAATAAAGGTGAAAAATAAAAGAGTATAGAGAAAATCGATAAGGAAAACAGAGGATATAAAACTCGCGCGGTGCGAAGCGAGATTGTTTTCGATAAAATTATTCGCGTATCGAGTGAACGAAAGAAAAATGAGGAAAGATTAGTAAATAATGACGTGTAAATTACAAGCGACAACAATGATGCAAACAAACGACGGCGATGACGACGACGATTCTTCATTCTGCCAGCTAACGTTTTACCCGTCTCCTTTCTCGTTCTCGTATCGTTTCCACTAATTTCCTCAAATACTTCTACTTCTATTCTCGTTCGCCTCTTGTTTACGATAGTCGACGCGTAAAACACGTATCGATGAACGCGCAAGCGTAACGGAAGGCGGAATTGAACGACGATCCATGGGACGAGGAGCGGCACGCGCGGACAAAAGATCGGACGATAAGATCGCGAATGGGATCGCGGTCGAATTGCCGTTGTTGGCGGTTGCTGTTGCGGCTGCGATTGCGGATGCAGTCGTGGTCGACGAACACTATTCCACTTGAAATGGGCGATGCGTCCAACGTTGTTTCGGGCCGATTTCTTTGAATTCACGCGTTGCCGGCGTTTCGCGTTCTCGTACGCGAACTCGCCAACTCTTTTCGACT